GCTTGATTATTATTTTTTCAATTCTATCTAAAATGGGGATCATAATTACAGTGCACTTTCCTTATAGGGCCGGGCGGCTTTCTGAGGGTGTGCTCAGAGAGTTGGGTTTTATTGTTATTTTCCAGTCAGGTTACTCATTATCTATCACCTAGAGGTGTGCCCTAGAGAAAGGCGTGAGTGGCAATGTCTGCACACACCCACAGAACTTACTGGACTCTGGGACTCTGCCGTTTTCCTGTTCCTGCGGAGGGATGGCCCTTGACAGTTAGAGGACTTTCCCAAAGGGCTCTCACCAGTATGGAGATGGAGAAGCTGGCCCCCTTCTCAGGATAGCACAGCCCCGTGAAGGAGACCCGGCCTTAGAGATGAATATGCAGTTGTATAGACTGGGTATCTAGTTTTTAGCCCAGAAGACAGAAACTTAGCTGTCTGTCCTAGTAGCTAGTGTTCAGGATGCACTAATAATTTAAATGGAACTACTTGTCTGCATTTTCTCTCAAGTCCTGTATAGTAAATGAAATAGAGGACAAAAGCAATTCCTTTTAGGTATAGAATTCAACATACTACCCCTGAGTTATACCCCCAGCCCTGGCAATTCTCCAAGTTCAGACAAGGCTTTCAGTTGTGTAACTAGCAGCGTGTTCTAGCTAGAATGTTTTGATCAACTGAAAATCTTCTTACCCCTAACTTCATAGCGATATAGTCTGTTTCTTCTTTTTCACTTCTTACAGTTTAAAAAAATCCCGCTTACTGCAACCCTGGACATTAGCTAGAAATCATGAATTGCGTGTCCCATGTGTGCGAGTTGTGGAACTCCTCACAGACTCCGGCTTCAGTCACAGAGCTGGGTCCCTTCACTTACTACTTGCTCAGGAAAAGCCTGGTGAGCTGTTTGCTGGTGCCAACCGTGAGCCTGGAATAAGAGTGGAGTTCAGAAAGTGCTGACGGCTCTTCCCGGCTCTCAGGAAATACTGTGCACAGTAAAAGGTTCAATAAAGAGGCGCTGGGTTAGGCAGCAACAGAGGCCGAAGATCAAGGTGTGCCGCAAGGTCATCTAGTTTGGGCTGGGCTCAGGAAAAGCTAGTTTGGGGTGTGAGAGACGCTTAGGGGAAGGTCCAGTGAATCTGTGGGCGGGGCTCAGGAAAAGCGCTAGGAAATAGGGCCCTCAGAACAGTACCCTTAGCTCAGCGTCCATCTCCTCTAGTCCTGCCTTTGGTTTTCCAGCAGGAGAAAAATAAACAACAAAAAGCCTTTTTTTCCTCAACTTAGATTTCTAGGTCTCCCTCTGTTTCGTCCCTGCTTTCTCTGTCTCACGCTTTCTCTGCCCCCCGCCTGTCCCGGGAATGGCGGTACGCTGACCTGCGACCCTCTAGACTTCCTACAAACCTATCCCTCCTCTTCATTGCCTCTGCTCTGGCCCTGCCAGTACCAGAGAGCGTCTGTGCCAAGCAGGTGCTCCACCAGTCTGGCTTGGTTGAATAGCTAAGCTGGGCATTGTGAAGAAACGAGCAGAGAGAAAGAACCGGGGAAAACAAAGGGACACAGGCGAAAGATACCTGAGCCGTGCCATTGTTGACAGGCCTAGCCAGCTTCCTGTCGGGAACTGCGGCTTCCTGTTAGGAGCACAAAGGAGAAAGGAGCTTTGGAGCACTGAATTCAAAGAGGTTTCGATTGAAGTGTAGTTATTGTAGGACCCCATTTCCTTTGCCTCTTCTGCTTCCTGCTTATACTGTGCATGGATACAAACAGACAGACAGACAGAGACAGTCAGACAAACACACACACACACACACACACACACACACCTGTTTGGTTTTTATCGTCACCTAACTGCTTTGTAGGACTTTCAGTAGGATAAGACTTTGCTTTCCTCCTATTTTCTCTGTTCCCCTTTCATTTGCTTTGCTTGGGAGAAGAGACAGAGGAAACCACAGAGAACATCATGTCAGCACCCAGAGTCTAGTGACCTTAACTGATGTCCTCATGCTCAAGATTGGATACTCTGAAGTATAAAACAAGACTTTAGGTGACTTCTCTTTAATTTTTTTTCCTGCCAGGAAACCCCAGATTGTATCCAGATTCCCCCCATTTTGAGTGTCATGGATTTGAGGGCTCTTTTATTGCGCCGTGGTCCCCTTTGCTAACCTCCCTTTATTATAATAGATCCTGTGACTTTTCAGCTCTGCTTTCCCTAAGTAGAATCCAGTTAATAACCTCACTGTGCTCCTAAAAGCAATTAAAACAGAAAGTTACTTAAAAAGAAGTTAGCCTGGGGCTGGAGAGATGCCTTCCAGGGGACCTCAGTTCTATTCCTAGCACCCACTCTGGGAGGCTCACAAGTCAGCTCCAGGGGATCTGATGCTTTCTCCCGGCCTCTGCAGGCACTCACGCATGTGCCCCATGCTCATGCATGCATGTACACACACACACACACGCACGCATGCACACATGCACAAATGCTCACACGTTTGTATGTGTGTCTGTGTCAGGGTCTCACTGTGTATCCCTGACTGGTCTGGAACTCACTCTATAGACCAGCTGGCCTAGAACTCAGAGCTCTTCCTGAGTCTGCCTCTCAAGTGCTGGGATTAAGAGTATATGCACCACCATGCCCCGAAGGTATTTAATATATATTAAATATTATATATTTAGGACTGGAGAGATGGCTCAATGGTTTAAGTTTGCCCTGCAGACTTAAGGTTGCCTTGCAGAGGACTTTTGTTCAGTTCCCAGAACTCATGCTGTACAGGTCACTCTGCCTGTAGCTCAAGCTCCAGGGGAATCCGAAGCCTCTGTCCTCTGTGGGTGCTTATACTCACACGCACACACACACACACACACACACACACACACACACACACACTTAATAATAAATGAAATCTTGAAACGTGTGTTCAAACATAATTTGACAGCCAAAGAGACACTTGGAGTGGCTGAAACCAGAGCTGCTGACAGTAGGTAACTTTCAGAGAGACTGGAATGTGGTCTCTTCTGGCCACCACTGAACATTTTGCCTCTGCAGAAGGGTGGGACAGGGAGTGGAGCAGAGCACTGTGCAGAACCGTACTGTGAGCACGTGGCTAAGTCACTGTGCCTCTCTCTGTTGGACCCAGTTTCTTTGTATCAGGATCCCAGTGCTTTGTTCTGATGACTGAAATGTCAAAATCTCCTCCATGCACCTAAGTACAGTGTCGATCGTGGTAGCCTTGTGCTTTGAGGACCAGAGGGAAATGTGTTAGCACCCTACTTTCCTCCCTTTCACTAAATGGAGTCAATTTTCAGGGACATTTAATGCAGTTAGCTGGTGACAACAGTATACAGTCAGTTCTGCTCAAAGTTAGAACATAGCACCAGAGACAATGAAATTAAAAAAAAACATAATGGACTATCATTCTTTACCCCAAATAATAAATGGTCAAAATAAAAATGGTAACAACACCAAATGCTGGCAAGGATGTCGAGAAATTAGGTCACTCTGACACTGCCGATGAGAACGTAAAATATGCGCCCGCCCCGGGGAACAGTTTGGCTGCTTCTCGGGAAGCTAAACGTGGAATTTCCGTATGAGCCAGCAATTACACTCTCGGATGTTTATCCCAGAGGAATGGAAACATGTTTGCGGAAAATTTGAACACAAATGTTCACAGCAACCTTGTCTGCACTAGGCAAAGACTGGTATCAACCCAAGCATCCGTCAGTGGGTGGATGGTTAGACAAATGGAATAGGCTCTCCAACAGTTTGCAATAGGTAAACAGCTGAGTGTGTACACCAACAGAGAGCCAGCTATGGGTACACACAACTTGGTGGCTTGCTGGGGAATTGGGCTAAGTGGGAAAAAAAGCCAACCTCCATGGGTTGCAGCATGAATATAATTTATTACTGTCTCCAAATAATTTTATTCTTAGTTTTTTTAACCTCTTCTTCAATTTCATATGCATAAACATAACCTGATAATTCTGGTTTGTGTTGCTCATATGTATATTTTTTTTTAGAGATAACCACTTGGAATGAGATAACCAGATAGAGGAGAAGACCGGCTCTCCCTCTCTCAGCCATTAATTGCCTAGAGGTGGGGCCACATGAGATGTCCCCCATGCCAGCTGCTGTTGTCATGTTCAGTTCTTGTTTAGACAACAATATGTTTGAGATTTCCAAGATATGACTTCCCCGTCTTATACAGAAGAAACTATCTCATAGTAGACTCCCTGATCCTCTGGCTCTTAGAGTCTTTCTGCTCATCTCTTCCCCGATGTTCCCCGAGCCCTAGTGTAGGGGCTGTGTTGTTGATGTATCAGTTGAGTCTGGGTACCCCACAACCACCTTTTCTATTCACCAAAATAAAGATTTTAATTTAAAAATATACGGAAGCAGTTTCAGAGTGCTGAGATCCGTCTTATCAGTGTCTGGGCAGTTAATATTCCTATTTGTGAACCTTAGGGAGCCATTTCATTGTTCTGATGTTTTGGACAGTCGGTCACGTTCAGATCAGGAAAGTAGAGAAGAACTTCCCCCTTTCCGTTCAGCCGGAAATGGCACAGTGGCTGGGTTTTTGTGTTTTCCTTCCTGTGGAGGTTTGACAATGTCTGTCTGGACCACAGCATCCTGAAAATAGGCACATCACTTTCTTGCAGAGCAAGGGCAGAGAACAGAACTAGGTTGGGTTTAGAGAATTGGGATATCTGGCCCGAGGTTTGATCAAGATGCAGCCCAAGGTCTTGGCTGTGATCAGGTTGAATAGAGACTGTGAACATTGTCACCAGAGTGTAGCAAAGGCAGGCATGTGGGGGACACATCTGGGCCAACTCATTGCAAACTTCTTCTCTGAGACATAAACTCAGAACTCGAGTTTGGCTTTCAGCTTCCTGGCAGGTGGCGTGGGGGAAGCCTGGAGTCAGAACCCTAGTTGGCAGCCTGCCTGAGCCGAGGAAGGTTTTCTGTTTGAGAGTGTGTGCTCTAACCATGCAGTCTAGAGACTCTGACAATCTCCTCTTCTTTGAAGTTGTAGGACAGTCCCACCTGGACAGCACCATTGAAGATCAAGAGATTGTCACCAATCCGCCAGACATTTGCCAAGTTGTGGAAGTGACCACAGAGAGCGATGAGCAGCCAGTCAGCATGAGCGAGCTGTACCCTCTCCAGATTTCTCCTGTGTCTTCCTACGCAGGTAAGGGGAGCAGGAGGGTGACCTGGAGACTCAGGAGGGAACAGACCAAGTCTAGCATCACCCCATCTCACCACCCCACAAGAATCTCTGTTCTGTACTAGAGATTATTAGTGTGGCATTATCCTTCCTCTTACATTCTTGACGGCATCTTAGACGCCTCAGTGAGAAGAGGTGTTTACGGTAATTCCCTTATTCGACTGCCCAGAATGTGGTTCATTCCAGACTACAGATAACATTTCCCGTGATAAATGCTTCGCTGTCATCAGAGACACATAACAAATGACGTAGTCACTGGACTTGGCAAAGACGGAGAACGCACTGGAACACAATGAGTTCAAATTCATTTGTAATCTATTTGCCTAAGTTAACAGGATTTGGGGTCAGAGTGCTTTGGCGGAGTCTAGATTTTACTAAGGTACATAGGACTTTAGACGTCATCTTTTCCAGATTCTCTCTTCGTGGAAGTGGATGAATTTTCTCCAGGTCACCTGGCCAACAAGTGTCCTGTCCAAGAGTTGAACTCAGCCTTCACCTTCGAGGTCGTTGTTAGATCTAATCCGTTTTACTGGCTTTACTTGCCACTTCCACTTATTTCTTCCCTCCCTCCCTTCCTCCCTCCCTCCCTCCTTCCCTCCCTCCCTCCCNTCCCTCCCTCCCTCCCTCCCTCCCTCCTTCCCTCCCTCCCTCCCTCCCTCCTTCCCTCCTTCCTTCCCTCCCTCCCTCCTTCCTTCCTTGTTTTATAGTGCTGCTTCTAGCTGAACTGGGCAGCTGGGCCCATTTCTGCTTCTCCTAGGGCCTGGTCTTGTCATTGCAGAAATTAACCCAGGTGGAGTTACAGAATCAGACACAGACTGAGAAACTGACTCCTCGCGTTGTCACCAGAATTACGTCATCTTACACGCCTTTCCTGACCATCTCCATTTAAGCTTTAGGGACTCAATCACGATTAGGAAATCTAAATTCTGAAGTCAGTGTTACTATTTGCAACTACTGAAAAAATAAAAAGCAGAGGCCCAGGTAGGGTAAAAGCCAGGCAGCTCTAGAAGATGGTTCATCTTCTCCCTGGGCCTATTCACATGCTTTCGAGGCCTCACAGGGATAGCACAGACTCATGTGGCGGAGTTCATCCAGACATCAGTTGCTTGTAAATTATCATAGATAAATTGACCTCATATCGATTAACCAGCCAGCTTTCTTTTTTTTAATTTATTTTTTAGTCACAGTGATAGACACCTAACACAAAATTGCCATTTGTTGAGCGTCCGGTTGAAGGGCTTTGAGTACACTCATAGTATTGTGCGGCCTTCACTGCTGCCTGTCTCCAGAGGTCTTTCACCTTAAACTAAAATGATGCACCCATTAAATATATACTCCTGTACCTGAGTTTTGAGAACCACCGGTCTATTTATGTCCACTCTGTGGGCTCTTAGGAGAGGAATCATGCAGCCTTTACCCTTTTGTGACTGGCTTATTTTACTTAAAATACATCATAGCTTGCTTTTGTGTTAGGAGCATTAAAAAGAATGGGAGAAAGAGCTCTAGTGACAGGAAGCCTATCACCTGTCCAATAGCTCGCCATCAGTCAATCATCCATCAGAGTTTGGACTTATATGTGTCCATCTCTTTGTGGTCTTTGCCAGGACCCAATGACTATATCATTTGTTGTATGTCTATTGTTGCCTGGAAATTATGCTAAATGCTTATTTGGATTGATTGACTTGCTTAATTATCAGGGGAATAAATGTTAGTCTCTCCTCTTCAAAAGTGAGGACTCCAAGGCTAATGTGAGTCTAGGAATAAAAAAAAAACTAGCGACAGATAAATCCATGCGCAGCTATGTTATTAGACACTCGTCATGGTGCTGCATGGGGTCACATGCTATAGACTCATTTGATGGTCAAAGGACCCACCAGAGAAGGTAGACCAAAATCTTCATGTAGAAACAACAGAAGCATTAAACACCGTGGTATTTCCCCTGTATTTGTGGAGCTAAAACTAAAGCCATGGCTTTCTTCTAAGCTGCTGTAGTTGCTAAACAGGATATGGTGCAGGAGGAATGGAGCCTTAAAGTGGACTGGTGTACCTGATTAAGGTTTTCTTGGGGATTTGGGGAAGACCTTTTGCTGTCCTGTCAGCAATGATATTTTGCCTTAGCAGAGACATCCTGAGAACAGCTGATGTGTGGAGGGAAAAAAAAACAAAATTTTCATTCCCCGTTTTGAGACATTTGCGTAGGTTTCCAAAGGAAGAGATTTAATCCCAGGGTGGCACAGCAACAGCCTGAATTTCTGGGAGAGGCCAGCTTTTCAGCCTGGTATTTGGTTCACCCATGGTTTTTTACTGTCGGAATTCTCCAGAATCTTGTAGAAGGAGGTTTATTGGATGGAACCAAAATGTTTCACTGCTGGTCTCTTTCTAGACTTGAAGACACGTTCCAAAGTTCTCTGTTACTGACCACGGCTAGTTCAAGTCTTCCGGGCAGGAAGTTGATAATGTTCTGTAGCTTTCTGTTCTCATCTTTGGATTTTATGCTCATCAGTAGCATAGGCTGTTTGGTTGATTTTCATGATACAGTTCCTTGGTGCACACTTTTCATCCGAATGTCACCCGCCTTCATTCACCGGCCCAGGAAACTGCTGTTTGGAGGCTGTTGCTGAATATCCTTTTCCTCATCAAAGAGGATCACTGACATATGATCCTGGGAATGTCACAAAACCACGGTCACCTCTGCAGCTCTGCCTTCTAATGTATTATTTCACTGTCAGGGCGAAGAGGAGTCTAGACAGCATCTTTGGGTGGAAGGAAGTGTTTGCGCTGGGTCGTTTAAGCGGATAGAAAATTCTACTTTGATTTGTAAAAATTTTCAGAGCAGGGAAATACATTTCAAAGCCCAGGCGTCGAAGCAGGAAGACATTTTTGTTTGTTTGTTTGTTTACTTAGTTATTTTTGCAGTGCTGAAGAGTAAACCCAAGACTTCAGTCGTGGTAGAACAAGTACTCCAGCACGGGTCCATATCCCTCGCCCTCGCCGTATTTCCATGTGGCTGTCTATCACGACTTCCTAGTATTCAACTGCATTGTTGCTGGTATAGTAGAAGAAAACCATGATGGTAATTCAGGAGAAAGGAGGTGGAAAACAGGCTTGCGTAGCAAGCAAAATAAGAATCAGCTGGTTATATAATCAGGACTAGAGAGGTCATGCAGACAGCCAGCTAACATTTTCCCAGAAACTATATATATATTTATGCTGTGAATGAGGCAAGGGCGCATTGGCGTGGAGACTGAGATTCGGATCTGAGCTGCTGAGTGGCCGGTTGCATCTTCTTGGGAATGTAATTGAGGAAATTATATGGAAAGAAATCAATGCTAATCATATTGTGTTGAATGAGAGTCTTCCAGAAAATAGATCAGATATCACATAATACAATAGCGTGTTCCATAAAATCTATCATCTCCTGCCCCGTGATGTTCTCGAGGTGGTTTGGTAATACGTATCCTCCAGGCAGATGTTAAAAGCTGGGCTGAAGCGGCGTGATTCTAGAGCTGCAGTTCTGGACGAGACCTGACTCGAGGCCAAATTACTTTCTTCCCTCCTCGCTGCTCGCAGGGAGCAGGCCAGAAAGGTTAAATCAATTGTTCGCGTATCTGCTGCTACTGTGTAAATATCTCGGCTTTTTTCTGGCCATGTTTGCAGAGTAACTTCCATCATTTTTTTTTTTAAATCCCATTGTATTGGAAGTCAGCTTGAAAAGCATCCAAACTAATAAAAGCGGGAAGTGACATAATCCACGCCGACGTTTTGGCAGTCACGTTGATCTGGAAGCCGCAGCTGCGGTGAACTCATTTGTCATGTAAGAAAGTCTTTCTGGAAATGGCTATGGTGGAGCAAAACCAAGAGAGCAGGAATGAGGACCTGGAGCCAACTACTGAGTAATAGCTATAAAAACCACCATTCATCTAACGGCAACACTTTGGGATCCTCAGTTAGGAACCCCAGGCACCTGCATCTCCTGGGCCGGAGGCTCTCAAGGCTTCTCCCTCGAAAAGAATCAGACTTATAAACCAGTATGTTAGTCCCTTTCACATTGCTGTGAGCACACACGGTGATCAACTTTGAAAGAGCAAAAGACACGGTGACTCGGAGTTTCAGAGACTTCAGCTAAGGTCCAAACTCTTACACCCAGTTGCTGAAGTGGCGAGGCTCGATCTGCATTTGGAAATGACTCCCTCCAGCCGCCATTGTGTCAGCCGAAAGCACAGGGCAGGATATCGTGCCATTACGTAGCCACAACTTTATCCCTCTAGTTGAATGCTGGCTACTTTCAGGAAATTAGCGTTCTTATCCCCTACCAGGGCTGTTCACAGCTTCACCAAGGAGTGTTTAGCCTGGCATCTAACTTCTAAACCCTCCAACCATTGTGGCTCGAGCTTGTGGGATCCTAGGACCTTGATGTCAACAACTCCTTTCTCCGAGTCCTCTCCCTTTCAACAGGCCTGGAGTCCCTGTGTGCTTGCTTTTATTTAAAGGGAAAGGGCCCCGAAGGATTTCTGGAGAGTCATTAGGAGGAGAAGGGGGCTTGATGCATGTGGAAGGAAGAGAAACTTTGGCTTCAGAGCACAAACAAAGCTAAGCATGAAAATAGGAAGGGGATCTTGAAGTCTTGCCAGCAGGAAGGCCTCTGCGCTCTGTGTGAGTCTCTGGGATCTGAAGTACAGTTTTGTTTTCTTTCCTCTGCTGACTCAAACCGCGACTTGGCAAGTGTCTCCACATCTCCGTTCCTCGTTTTTTCTTCTTGGGAGTGGCAGTCCTGCCTCCCCTGGAGGTTGAGCTAATGGGGCTTTTGTGTTTGGAGGGACGTTTCCTTTTCTGGTCTTCATTTACTTCTGCCTGGAAACATTCCTTGTGCCTATTGTCAGATTGTCTCCACAGCGCAGACCATTGCCAGCTAAGTCCTAGGCTTCCTCGTGACATCTGTGGCCCCTATGCGGGGTTGTTTAGGGTAGAACATTCTGAGCTGGCAGAGCAAAAGATCTGATTTTTGGTCAGTCTGTGCAATCTCCCAGGCCTGTCTGAAGTCCCTGGAGAACAGTGGCTGAGAATCATGCAGAAAGCATTCCTGGGTGAGACTTGTGGACCTCACTTGCTTGCTGTCTGTTTAAGGAGTGCCCTGAGGGTACAGTTTGCTCATTTGCTCTTTAACTTGATATATGTGGGAAGGCCCATCTCAGGCCAGGGCTCTGAATGGTGGAAAGGGCTCTGGCTGGCCTGGAGCCATTGCATCTTACTGTTCTCAGGTAGGCATGCGGCTAATCTCCCTCATTAGTGGCAGGGTGGAAGAGGATGGAAAGGTCTAGAGACCATACTGCCATCTGACCACAGCAGCTTTCCGACTTGGGATCATCGCGAGGGATGAACAAGACCGGTATCCCTAGGTCCTAGCTGAGGCTTGCTATAGGTCTCTTAAGTGCTCAGCTCTTATCAGTAGAATAAAGGACCCAGACAAAATGCCCTGTGCAATTCTGTGCATTTTGGATGCGCTGCCCTCAGTGCATTCAGCTTTGCAGCGGCGCTGAACAGTGGAAAGAACTGCTCTGTGTGTCATTTTCAATTTGGGAAACTGAACCTCAGATGATGTGCAATCAGCGCTCCCTGCATTTGACTCTGTTGCATCCAGCCCAGTGTGCAAACTCAGTGTTGAATACCACTGACATCGCACGCTCTATGTGTCAGCCTTTCCAAACACTCCCACACTTACTCATCATGTAATCCTCTTTGGAAAGTGGCGGGCAACTGTAGCTCACTGTGGTTAAGGACGTTTCTCTGTGTCTCCCAGCTGGCAGGTCCAATCAGGTGTCTAATGGATTGTCTGTTGCCCTGTAGCAACTTGACCATAACCATAATGGCTTAACACAATACACGGTTAACTATCTCACAATCTCTGTGGGTATGGCTTAGCTGGATTCTGCAGGAAAGCCTTACTACCCTGTCATCAGGTTGGCTAGTGCTGAAACTCATCTGAGATCCAACTGTTGAGCCACTGGCTCCCACAGCATTGGGCAGAATTGGATTCCTTGCCAGGGTTGAGCTGAAATCCCCAGTGTCTTGCTAGTTTTTGCCTGGAAGCAGCCCTTAGCTTAAATTTGCCACGTGGGCCTCCCCGACACAGGCAGCGAACAAGAGACAGGTTAGTTCTTACATGATGACATGATCATGCTCATAGAATATTTATATCTTTGCTGTGTTCTGTTGGCTAAAAGCAAGTCACAGTTCCTACCCACATTCAAGGGGATGGGGCCCAAAGATGGTAACCATGGAATGAAGGTCTTGGGGGCATCTAGACCATGGCCACCTGCTAAAATCCCAGTAACTGGATATCTATGAATCCAAGAGTAGAACACTAAAGGCAGGAGAAGGCAAGGAGAGGTTCAGGAAGAGTTTTTGGACAGTTTCACTGTGTTGGGACTTCCTGTGACAAATGGGACAGACTAGAAAAAGATAATGTGTGGCATTGTGGGCAGATTGTGGGAGGGGAAGATGTCTCAGGGATCGCCGGGAGGCAGAGGCTACGGCAGCATACTTGCTACAGCGAGCTCCTCTGCTCAGCTCCAAAGCCTCTCCACTGCTCCAAGGAGACCAAGCAGAGACCGGAAATGCACCCTGGCTTGTCCCACTTGGAAGTGTGTGACCTCACCAAGTGGAGGGAGAGGGGCGTGTGCAGTTGCTTATTTCTGAAGTGCTGGCGTAGGTTTTTAAGATACTTCCTGAGTCTCCAAAATAGCTTGAGCAACAAGAATATCTCTGTTTTTCCTTCTGTACAGAAAGCGAAACCACCGACAGTGTGCCTAGCGATGAGGAAAGTGCCGAGGTGAGCTGGCTTCCTGGTGCCTCTTGTTTTAAAGCACAGGTTTTACTTTTGGATCTGTGTATGTGTGTGGGGGGTGTTTATGTATGTATGGTGTGTGTGTGGTGTTTGTGTGTGTATGGTATGTGTGGTGTGTATGTGGGTGAGTGTGTGTGTGTGAGTGTGTGACTCTGTGTTTGTGAGAGAGAGAGAGAGACAGAGACAGACAGAAGACAAAGAATGTACATAACCTAAAATTTACCTTAGCTTTTCTTTCTGAGTTGTGAAATGTAGTACTGAGAGCCCTGGGTGGGAGGGAGGGAAGTGAAATGCGCCCCTCAGAAAAAGAGGTGACTACGACAGGGCAGGAAGAGAAAACTGGAGTCAAGGCCAGGAGATGTTGATAGGCTTATGGCTGTAAACATCCCGATTTGCCAACAGGAATAACACAGCCTGCTGGCCAGCAGTAAGCATCAGCAACAGCTAGCAAAGTTGTCTTCGTCCAGATCAGTCTCCTCCATTGCTCCTGTGGAGAGGCGGGTGTGTGGCCAATCTCTGCTCCCTTCCCTGCCAACCTGCTTCCAGCTTCCCTCTGTAGGCCAGGCTCACACAATGGCAGGAAATGCCTTCAGTGCTGGTGGGAAGACAAAGGGGGCTGGAGAAGAAGCCTATGTTTGGTTGAAATTCCTAATATCCCAAGGTCAGGAATCCTGAGGAGACAGTAGGCATCCTTGCTGGCATAGTTTGTGATCTGGCTTCTTCAAGGACTTTAACTCCTTTTCTGCCTGGCAACTGTAAGGCCAGTTGGGTTCAGAAAATGTGGATCTCAGACCCACCTACTTAAAAAGCCATCAAAGGACATTTGCTGAGTGTTCCTAAGCTCCTTACTCTCCTCATCTGAACATTCAGGGTAACTAATCAGGTTGGACTATTATGGCTGGAAACTTTCCGGTGTGCAACCCAGACGGCCTGCGCACAGGAACAGGAAGCCAAGTTGCCACCTTATTTTGTGTGTTTGCAGAATAGTCTTGGTCAGATTTCTGGGACCTAGCAAATGAGACTCGATTTGAAAAGTAAGAGAAGCCATTGCTTTGCATATGCCACAAAGTGGGAAGGAAAAGAACGTGTATATCTTGATTATTTTCTCTGAAAGGGGAGACCACACTGGCGGAAGAGGAACATTGAAGGCAAGCAGTACCTTAGCAACATGGGGACACGGAGCACCTACCTGCTGCCCAGCATGGCGACCTTTGTCACTTCCAACAAGCCAGACCTGCAGGTTACCATCAAAGAGGAGAGCTGTCCGATGCCTTACAACAGCTCCTGGCCCCCGTTTACAGACCTCCCCCTCCCTGCCCCAGTGACCCCCACACCCAGCAGCAGTCGGCCCGACCGAGAGACCCGGGCCAGCGTCATCAAGAAGACGTCTGATGTCACCCAGGCGCGTGTCAAGAGCTGCTAAGCTTTGACTCTCTGGTGGTTGTTGGGATTTCTTAGCTTTGTGTTGTTATTTGTTTGTATTTTATTTTTCTCTCTGATATCTATCTTAGACAAATCTAAGGGAAAAAGCCTTGATAATAGGATATTGATTGTTGTGTCCAACTCCAGGGCTAGAGCTTCTTTTTAACTCAGGACTCCAGCCCCTTGGTAGACGCATATCTCTAGAACCTGCTGGATCTCCCAGGGCTACTCCCTCAAGTTCATGGACCAACAGCCACACGGGCAGTGGAGGTGCTGCGTTGCCTACGGTCAAGGCCAGCATGGTGGAGTGGATGCCTCAGAATGGACGAGAAAATGTGAACTAGCTGGAATTTTTTATTCTTGTGAATATGTACATAAGGCAGTACTAGCAACATTGCGGTCTGCTTCTGCACCTTATCTTGAAGCACTTACAATAGGCCTTCTTGTGATCTTGCTCTTCTTCACAGCACACTCGGCATCCCCTTCTGTGCCCATGACCTCACTACCCACCCATCCCCAACCCATCCATTCCCAGCTCACTACCCACCCTCCCCTCTCCAACCCTTGCAATCCCATTGCACACCCCCTCCCTCCCCAACCATCCAATCCGAGCCCACACTCAGCCCTCCCTTTCCAACCCATTGAATCCCAGCCCGCTCCACCCCACATTCCTCAGCCCATCCAATCCCACACCCACCACACCCTCCCCAACCATCCAATCCCAGCCCATACCCACCCTTCCCTCGCCCAGTTCCTTTCCCCTTTTCTCTCCTCAAAGGCGATGTTCCACATCTTGGAAGAGGAGGAAAAGAAATTTAATTTCTCCACAGCTGTCCCATTTTAAGACTGCTTGAAAAAAATCTTTCTAATCTGCTATGCTTGAACGCCACGCGGTACAAAGGAAAGCTGTCATGGAAATATTATGCAAATTCCCAGATTTGAAGACGAAAATACTCTAATTCTAACCAGAGCAAGCTTTTTTATTTTTTATACAGGGGAATATTTTATTCAAGGTAAAATTCTAAATAAAATATAATTGTTTTTTATCTTTTCTACAGCAAATTTATAATTTTAAGATTCCTTTTCTTGTTTATCAGCAGTTGTTATTACTTCCTTGTGGCACATTTTTTTTTTTAATTTTGTAAAGGTGAAAAAAAAACTTTTATGAGCTCATGTAGCAATGAAATTATCCTGTGGATTGATAATAAATGAATATGGTATATAGTTAAATTTTTTAATGGGTATCACTCCTGGCTTTATCTGTGTCTATCTGCATAAACATGAATCAGAGCTGACAAAGTATTCTTGGAGACCACCATGCTATCTTTGCTGACCACAAGAAACTTAGGAAGGTCCTATGATGAGGCTGCAAATTTCCTCTTCCACGACACTGGGCCTGGGCAAATGTCGTACACAAGTTATCATCTTTGCTCATCACAGTTGTGCCCAGAAAGAGCATTTATCACTATTCCACATGGTAGACGTGGAGACCTGAAATGAAGACCTCCTGCTCAGGTTACCCAGACAGCTCAAGACCAGGATACTGGCGGAGCCCAAGTCTGGAGCGTTTCCAGCGGGGGTGGGGTGGTGGTGGTGGATGTGGAGGTACTGGAGGTGGTGGAGGTGGTGATGGTGGTGGTGGTGGTGGCGGTGGGGATAGTCTGTTTCCTAGTCCAGAGTTCTCTGCTGTGAGCAGATTGCTCTCAGCTCAGTGGGTTTTCTGTCCTCTGTGGACTTGGACACACAACTCAGATAAAACACTTTCAGTAAGGAGAAACAGTGTGTGTTCTACCTTTCTGTTCCTTTGTCTTCTAAGACCTGGGGGATTTTGCATGAAGGTCCCGTCCTTAAAATGTATGATTTTGAGAGCCCAGGTCTATTACCTAGTTGGAATTTGTTCCCTTTCCTATTGAATTATCCTTATTGCCCTCACATACACACCTTGGTATTTGAAGGTACAGCCCTGACCTTGAGAAGATCGCCTCCCTTACCACCCAAGCTTCCTCAGAATACTTAAACATAGCTGTCTTCCTGCCACCTTTGGGGGTTACGAAAAGATCACCGAGTTAATGTTTGAACAGTCCTTTGAATTTATGAAAGGACAAAGGGCCCTTTTTAAGTCTATCTTCATGTGCGCCTGCAGATACAGCCAGTGATCATAAAATTATCGTCCCTGAACACAAGTCAGCGGAAACCCATTACTGTTTGGCGTAAGTGAAATGGCTCACACAGGTAGCTAGTTATTTCTCTTCAGAGCGCCTTTGTAGGGCGGATTTATCTGGATTCCCCAGGACAAGTCACAAGGTTCTTGGTCCATGAGCCCTCCCCTTTGGTAATTCAGATTTTAAAATCTCATTGATCACCCTGTTTTGTTTGCAAAACGGCAAAAAAAAAAAAAAAAAAAAAAAAAAAAAAAAAAAAAAAAAAAAAAAAAAAAAACCCGCAGCATAGAAGTTGGCCCTGACTCACGGTGAACAGTGGGTCTAGGGTAGCTCTGACCTTCCTTCTGCACTCCCCTCCGCACCCAGAATGAGTCCTGCAGGTCTCAAATGTCATGCCGCTGCGTTATTCGGTTCCCGTCGTGGGAACCAGACTAGCGATCAAATTCAGGATTCAGAGATAGACCATTCAGGTGCTCAAGGTAATATTCTATTGCCAGTAAGACCACAAAAATAGAACAATGCTTAAAATATCCCCCACGAAGGGCTGAGTTATTTCTAAGTCACACTTGCTAGGAGTGAAGGAAAACAAGGGGATTACACAAGACCTGGGGTAGCTAAACAAACCGGATGGACCGCTCAGGAACAGGAGCCCCAGACCTTGTTGTTGTCACTTGGAGGAAGTGCTGGGGACACCTGATTTATTTAGTTGGCCTCTGTGTGTGCTGATATGTTTTTTTTTTTTTTTTTATGATGGGGTTTGCTGTGGGTGTGTTTAAGTAGCAATGTAACTGCTTTTCGGACAATAGTTTCCATTCTTTGCCAGTCACACCCATAACAAAGTTCCTCATAAATCTTTGATCTGGGAATTCAATAACAGCCGTAAGGCAGGGCCAACCAAGCACCTTGATGTGATTGGCTTCCATCATGTTGTTTGGGTGCCTTAAGTAAGTTCATCTTCAACCGTAGCCTCTCTTTGCCTATTTGGATGTCAAAGGCAGTGTGCCGTTTATTTGACTGTATTAGATGTACGTGGCTAAGAAATACAAATCCTTCGGACATCAAAGCCCTAAAACGATACCTTTTTTGGGTCATCGTTGTTGCCTCAGATGCAAAAGGGCACTATCATGTAACCTGCTCCCGAGGTAGAAATTGCAGGAATGAGGAAGATCAATGGTTTGGTTTCAGGAGTCTGAGTTTTCAAGTTGATGCTTTTAAAAGTATTTTCTATGTGAGTGAAAAAAAATAGTGTTAAGCCCCACATGGCCTCTTGCCCCTGCATCTAAGAGGTGAAACATTAGACCTCCATTTGCTAGACACTGTCCTTTGAGTGTTGAATTAGATTTTAAGAGCCCCTTGTCATTTTAGCTTTGGACAAACAGACCCAAATAAAAGGAGGAAATCAAAACCCAAATCTTTCCCGATGACGGACAAAAAAAAAAAAAAAACAGGAAAAGCTGGCAAACAGCTGGGTCTGTGACCTGCAGGGCTAGTCTACCTGATACCTTTACTAGTACTAGTTAGGGCTTTGCAAAGAGTATGGAGTATGAAGGCAGAAACTGGTTTTAGCTAGTTATATCCATCCATCTCATCCTGAAACTCCATCTCTTGGTATATAACCTAGAGCCTGAATGAATGATCAGAGGCACAGGGACAGGAACCTGACCAGCCAGGGAGCCTGGACACATCACCCCCACTGTGTCCCGGCGGCAGCGAACCCCTCCTCAGCGTGATCATACGTGTTTTTCCATCTCACGGGGCTGAAAGCATCCACATGCCCATTCTCATAAATGCTGCAAGGCAGGTATCTGTAGATAACCACACCAGCTGCTCTATTCCAAACCCCACCATCCCTAGTGTGAAGGGGACAGTGTCAGTCCCCAGCTATGCCCTTCAGCAAGGGCTTGGATAGCAGCTGCAGACCTGAAGAAGGGGGGGGGGGGTCTTGCCATGGGGGTGTGGCGTTTTGGGTGAGGAGATACCAAAAAGTATGTGCAATGGTAAGGAGGGATTGTTACTGAAGCTGACTGGCTTCTGCACCCCTGCCAGCCCTGGTGGACACAGAAATAAGTCTCTGCAGTGCCATGGACCGTCCCTCTGTGAGACTGCTATCCATGGGAGGACAGGGTTGAAGGATAGGATAGCCAGGATACGACGCAAGGGAATGACAGACAGACACACTGTGTAGTGAAAATCTGCTGCCATTTTACTTCTGCAAAGCTTCAGTTTTTGTACAAAACAGATCAAAGAACTTGGCAGGCTCATTACATCACCCCACTCAGGGTTCCAGACATAAATCAAGGCTAAGCATAATCAAAATAAAGCTCCCTCTACGTGCTCCCCTCTACGTGCTCAAGATGTTGGCAAGGACTTTTAGTTTTGTTTTGTCTCTTAGAATTCTGTCTCACACCATTATTTACCTTCTACCGTGGGAGACCAATTCCCAGGGTCCTGTGTTTAGCTTTCCATCTATATAGTTTTTTATTCTTTGCTCCATATCCCCTAATAGTTTTCTCATTTTCTCAGGATAGTTCCTATACCAATATATTAAAGCTGGTCTCATGTTTTCAATAATTTCCTTTCTTTCCTTCTTACTATAAAGACACCAGGGCTTCTGGGATCTAGCTAATCTTTCCATAAAGGGGAATTTTCTCTAACTCTCCTTTTCTCTCTAAATCTGATTCACTATGATGATTCCCTCGTAACATTTCAACTTTAGTCGTTTCTATTTCATAATTAATAAAGTTTCCCAGGCTCATGTGGCATGGGGCATACTTCAGTTCCTCAAGGACTGCTTTAAGGAACGGTGGAGCCGAGCCAAGGACGTACTTTGATCTCTTGGTAAGCGGTCAGCTATAAACAAGAAAATTAAGAAATACAGAGAAAGATCAGGCAAGGTGTCAGGAGGGCTCGCTCTCAGGGCCATCTCCAGATACGAGATCTGCCTTTGGCATCAGGTTCTATCTCGACCGCTGATTGCCAGGGGGACCACCTGGGGCTTCGCTCCAAGAAGCTCTAACCCCAATCCTTCAGCAGGCAAAAGCCAGCGCAGAGGCATTTTGTCACTGCACGGCAGTCACTGCTGTGGACATGGCACTGCAGTAGCGTGGGCATCGCTGGCCCTGCTGTGATCATAAATGAGGGTTCTAAAGAGATTTGCTTCTGGGGCCATTCTAACAACAGGTGCCGAGATACTGCCTGAAAATAGAGCCTGGGAGGAAGGAAGTGGTCAGGCCTGAGGGCCGGTTTTAGCAAAAATGTTAAGTCTGTCCAAGAACTTTGGTCAGGCTGTGAAAGGATTGGGAGGAGGGACATTTTCAAGTTGACATAGTCTAGGAGTGCAAATCAGGGGTAGGCATATGCAGAACCCTGGGCAGTTCCCAGCACCTTGAAAATAAATAAGTAAACAAATAGGTAAAAAATTAAAATTAAAGCTAAGAGTTCCTATGGTCTGGCAAGCCAATGTTCTAGCTAGCATCCTTTGGCATGTCCCTTAGGAAAGAAAGCAGAGCATGTGTCCCGAGCCTCCGAATAAGCTTCGGTCCCGTTCTCCATGTCTCCTGTATGACCAGGTTCAAACAGAGTACTGGCTCCGTGGGAACACTGTGCCGGTTCCACGCATGTTGTTGGTTATCCTTCTACTCACGCTCAAGAGTCACTGCTTTCACACTCACCCATCTGAGTCACACACCCACTGGGTGTGAGTCACACAACCTTTCGTGCAGGTCTGAAAACAAAGTCCAGGCCATGAATATCTCTAAATTCCATGTTTTGTTTTTTTCCTTCTGGGAAGACAATATTAAAATTGTAACCCCTACTGCGCAACCACACAAACTGTCAAAGGGAAAAGACTCCAGATATGTTCCGTCTGGTTAAAACTTGGATCTTGCATCTAGGGTTGTTCCTCTTGCCCCCAAGCTCCCCAATATATTATTTCCAAGACAATTCAAATCCACGTATTGTACTGGGGACGTGTCTGAAGTTTCAAGACAATGTAAACAGCTAGTTGGGAGTGATTGCTAGTTTAGCGATGCGCCAGGCTTTATCCCCTCCGAGCACTAACCCTGACAAATATTCTCTGTAGAGCTGGCTGTTCCGTCTGCCAACGATTCCCCTCCAGGGCTGTAAATCCAGCCCTTATCTTCATTGGCAGCATCTTTGCTCTGGGAAGCCCATACATCATGTTTTTAATGTGACTGAGATGCAGAAGAGGGTTCACAGCCCCGGCTCCGCGACATGCAGCCTATAGGGAAATTAGAATTTTAGGGAAAATGTGAAATACAGACAAAAAACGATCGCTCAGATTCTAACTAGTGACTTTAGGGGATCACATGGTAACCAGGCTATGACAGGGAAGGAAGCCACTGGATGGTCCAGCATGTTTTTAAGGTTCTATTTGCAGGACTGATTCTAAGTGGTTTAATTCTAAGTGGTTTTCTTTAGCAGCTCATGATGGTAATTTGGTAACTAATGGTCTAAACCTGCCCAGAATGGAGAGGTTCTATAGGATGGAGACTCTTCACTGTTGAAGTTGGAACTGTTTCAGGTAAACCATAGGTTGCCCTGAATATTATGTTAAAATCAGAACATATATGTATATGTGTTATGCTCCTTTTGAAGATGTTAAAAGAAATTAAGCTTCGCGAGAAAGTGTTATTATATGTTTATTTATTGTTGATGAGTCTATTGCTAATCCATTTGTTTAGGCGTGGTATGTTTTATGAAGAGACATAGACTTCATTCATTCAGCACTATCAAGTTCCCAGTGTGTGCTGGTCTTAGGTGGTAAAGCCACAGGGAAGTGAATGGAACGTCTAAGAGAACTTTTATTCCAGCTGTGAGTGGGTGGGAACCATTCAAGCAATTAGTAGCAACCTTTGGGGGACAGCAAAGGTGACAGAGGACAGTAAAGCAGGGCAAGGGAGACGGGGAGCAGTGGAGATACCCAGAGCCATCATCTTGGTGTTCGCAGGATCCGTTGCAGGGCTGGCAGTTGCAGAACTCAGCAGTTAAGAGGAAAAGAAGGAAAAGGGTTGGTATCAGCAGTGTTCTCTTGCAGGAAGCAGAAACCACAGCGACTATTTTAAGCACAAAGGCATTGACGAGAGAGAAGCAGGTGCTTATGTGGGCAGGCTGGACAAGCCTCTGAAGGGCTGGTCCCACCTCCATCGCCACTGTGGAGGTGGGACACGAGGAGGCATCAACTGCGTGGACACATTGCACTGGCTTTACTCTCGTCGGAGAGTCCCTGTCACGGTCATCTCCACTATCTCTTGATACTCGTGACTTTAGTAACTGAACCCTGAGTCACTGCTTTAGAAAGTCCCAAGACTCCATCCATGTCCTGTATGGGACTGGTTACAGCTGAATCAGGAAAATGGCTTTGACCTCACTACTGACTTCCTGTTCTTGTGCAAACAAGTCGAGCCTAATTTTGCAGTTAGGGTCTCAGCTGTAAGACTGGAAAATGGGGTTCTAGATTTCCAGCCATGTCAGCAGAAATGGGCACACCACGGACAAGTAAAAGTGGATGTTACAGACCTCTAGTCTACCTCAAGAAACCATTGCAAGAATGCTAAAGGCAGCGAGACTAGACAGAGGGAGGCAGCTTCACCCTGCACACTTCAGTCAAGGTGGAAAGGCAACTCAACAGTGGCCAGAACAAGGCTTTCAGTTTGACTTAGTTTTTTTCTTTAATTTCTAAATATTTTCATTATTTTATGTGGATAGGTACTTTGCCTAAATGTATACCTATCTCTGCATCGTATCATCAGGAGCAAAGAGAGGGGCTGGGATTTCCTGGAACTGGAGTTACACACAGGTGTAACCTATCACATGGGTGCTGGGAATTGAACCCATGCCCCCTGGAAGAGCAACCAGTGTTCTAACTTCTGAGTCTTCTCTCCATCCTCGATGACGCTTGTTTTTTCTTTTTTTTTCCCTCTCCCCCGACCCCTGATGCTTGTTTTTTTTCTTAAGATTCGATCCCACTCTATAATCCAGGCCGGCTCCCTCCTTCTGCTATGCTGCTGAGGCTGCCCTGGCACCCACAGTCCTGCCTCTGCATCCAAGCGCTGCCTCATGCCACGACATCAAGGGCAGGCTTCATGGGTTCAGTTCTTTCTTTACTTGTTAATGACTTTAGGCAACTGTCTTGACATTTTGAGAGAACTTTCTAAAAATGGGGCTGCTAACACCTGACTTGTGAGGCTGTTATCATATTAAACACGATAATGCTGTTTATAGAGCGAACGTAATGTAGACACTCGCTGGCAGCCTCTATCCCTATGAACCATGCTTTGGAGAACTGGTACCAACTTATCTTGGACTCGTACGAATTCAAGAGTTTATCAGTGAGGAGCTCAGATCTCAAACATTTGACTGCAACACACACACACACACACACACACACACACACACACACACACACACACGGTGGTTTAAATGAAAATGGCCCCGGGGCCTACGAATGGCCCTATTATGAAGAGCTGTCTTTATGGTAGGAAGTATGTCACTTTGAGCCTTGAGGTTTCGGAAGCTCAAGCCATACCTAGTGGCTCACTGTCTCTTGCTGCTGTTTGCTGATGTGGATGCAGAACTCTCAGCTGCTTCTCCACACCATGTCTGCCCGCACACCACCATGCTTCCCATGATAACAATAACAGACTAAATCTGAAATGGAAGCTACCCCCAGTTAATTGTTTTCTTTTATAAGGATTGCCATAGTCATGGTGTCTCTTCACAGCAGTAAAACCCCAAGGTGTGTGCAGGTGTGTGTGTGTGTGTGTGTGTGTACACATACATATATAAAACCTCCCCCTCCAGCCTCATGTCTTGGAGTTTATTGAAAGAGCCTAATTCCACTGATATAAAAGGATCAAAGAGAAAGTTCCTCTCTGATAAACACTGAAGAGACAAAACTTTCTGGTGCTTTAAATTTTAAACCAATAGATTTTTTTTCTTCTTTTTATGAAGGTGTGTTTTATTTTAATTATGTGTGCGTGTGCACACACGTGTGCTTGGGATATGTGCATGTGGGTGCAGGTGCCTGTAGTGGCCAGAAGAGGATCTGGGGTTCCCTGGAGCTAGAATTAGAGCCAACTGTGACTCTCCTTATAGGAGAGCTTGGAACAACCAAACTGTGCTTCTTGATGAGGTCAGTGTGTTCCATTAGCTGCTGAGCCATTTCTCCAGCCTGGGGCAGCTGCTCTTTGAGAATGTGAACACATGCCAGGGGTGAGGCTAGGACACACCTTTCCACGGCCTCTGCTTAGATGAACTGATTGTCATAAATGCCGTGGAGCTTCATGGGAAAGGAGCTGTCCCTGTGTGTCAGGGACTGGATTCCAGCGAAAGAATATAATCTAGGGATGAGACCAGCTGGAGGCAGCTATGCCCTGAAGGGAGAAGAAGCTGGTGGTGGTACCAAGTTGGAACTATGACTGAATTCCATAATGGCATCCATTGTGAAAGGCTTACATGCCTTGAAGAAAAAAAATGGGTCAAAGTGATGGCTAATGGTCTGGCCATTCTTCTTCAGGTGTCTGTGGCCCCAGCCTGGGTGACAGTGAAGTAGAGAGAAGCCCTTCCTTGAGGGTAGCCATGGGGAGTTCACTATAGAAGTCCCCAGCCATTATGTGATAGGATTGTTTTCATTGTCAGCTTGATGCAGCCTAGAGTCACCTGCGTCTAGGACCTCAGTGAAGAACTGTCTAAATCAGTTTGGCCTGTGGGCATGCCCGTGAGGAATCTCCCCCTGCCATCGACTTATATGAGGTGGGGAAACCACCCCAGGAAGGGCCATTCCTTGGGTCTGAATCTCAGCCTCTAAAAGAGTAGAGCAAGCTAGTTTAGTAAGTACTAGGTACGTATGTGTTTATCCTCACTCTGTTCTTAGATGTGATACAGCTGTTGCTTCAGGTGCCTGTCCTGACTTTCTTGCTGTGGTGTATCGTAACCGGGAACTCTAAGCCAAGTAATCCCATTCTCTTTGAAGCTGCTTTTTTTTGCCATAGTAATTTTTTTTAATGACAGCATCATAAACAACACTAGGGAAGATTACATAACCAGGTGACATGGCGTGAATGCTGTATTTCCTCCACAGGCCATGTGATGAACGCTAATTCCTAGAACAGTGGTCGTCAGCCTTCCTAATGCTGTGACCCTTTAACACAGTTCCTCACGTTGTAGTGAGGAACCAATTATTTTTGTTGCTACTTCATAACTGTAATCTTACTACTGCTATGAATTATAATTACAATGTAAATATCTGTATTTTCTGATGGTCTTAGGCAACCCCTGTGGAAGGGTCTTTTGATTCCAGGTTCAGATATTGTCCTAGTACAACAGGATTAAAATGGAAATAGCTAGATTCTGAAGACAGAGGCTAAGGGTTATCATTAACATCCTAAAAGAGGCACAAAAGTTGTGTTTGCCCCTCCACAGGCGGGGACACATAAAAGGTACAAATTTCTGGTGCTTGAGCCTTGGGACTTCTGTACTCCCAAAACATCCACAACAAATTTCTATTTGTAAATTGCATAGGGTGCAATACAGTGCTATATTTTCCTCAACCGACTCCAACAGTCGGGTAAGCAGAAGCCTTAGGTAAGGGATGAGAAGTTGATTAAAAGCAAGACAAGGAGCTGGGTCAGGACAGCTCTGAGGCTGACATAGGAGAAGCGGGTCCATACACCACAGCAGGGGACAGAAGATGTGGAGGAAGAGGCATCCGGCAAGTGGGGTTACCGGGGGCACAGAGGCGCTGCTGCCATAGCGGACACTGGGCTCAAGCTTAAGACAGCTGCCGTAATGTATGGATCGTGTGCGCACACAAGGAACCGTTGAACATTCCAGTTATAATGATAATAAAGATGAAGGCTTTTGTTGTGAGGCGGCTACAGCGCTGTGGAAAATTATCTCATGTTTCTTCCCCTGCCATCTTTTCCTTTGCCAGTTCTTCAAGGAACACCGCTCACTTTCCGTGCATTGGTCAAGGAAGACCTAAGGTACGCATAATGATAGTCCTAGAAAGAGGAGAAGCCATCAGTGGAACAGAACTGAAATCCATAAACCTTCCAGAAATAAGAGAAAAATGTAAATTTATACATTGAAAGGACCCACTCTATATTTAGGAAAGCTGACCTAGAAAGAGCAGTTTTGAGGCATTTTCTAGAAGATCTTGAAATCCCAATCTCTCTCTCTCTCTCTCTCTCTCTCTCTCTCTCTCTCTCTCTCTCTGTGTGTGTGTGTGTGTGTGCGCGCGCGTGTGTGTGTGTCTTTCTACCCCCTCCCCTCTTCCCTCTCTCCTGTGATTCCCCCAGGGGTCTGTATGAATTTCTTAATGTTGCTCTACAGGTGAGCATAATCTGATGTTTGAAATAACATGCATGTATTCATTCTCTCACAGTTATGTCATCAGGGCCATGATCCCTTGAGGGCTCAGGGGAAAGTCCTTCCTGATCTCTTCTAAGCTCTGGTGCCTTCTGGTGTTCTCTGGCTTGTGGCTTTCTCCATCCAGTCTTTCTTGTCTCAGCTCAGCTTCATGCCCTCCCTCTAGTTCTCTCTCAGATCTACACTACATGCCTCCCTTTCATAGGAAGATTTTTCATTGAATGTTAGGGCCACCTGGATAATCTGGGATAATCTCATCTCAAGATCTCTTAATGACATTCCAGTTATAACGATAATAAAGATGAAGACTTTCGTTGTGAGGCGGCTACAGCGCTGTGGAAAATTATCTCTTGTTTCTTCCCCTGCCATCTTTTCCTTTGCCAGTTCTTCAAGGAACACCGCTCACTTTCCGTGCATTGGTGACACGGAATGACATCTACAAAGGTTGTTTTCCAATTAAGAGAATAGTTATATGTGCCAGGGATTTGGGACTGGATATATCCTTCTGGGGCCGTTTTTTCCAGCTCATTTCAGACCCTCTAGGTGAAAGGTCAAATCGTTTATGACCTTCAGGCTTCTCACGAATGACGTGAAAAGGAAGCCAGTCATAGGAACAACTGTTAAGTGACGTAAGGGCAAAGAGGGCAAGCTGGCACTTTTGTATCCAGCTAAACTGCCCTTCAAGATTCAGAGAGAAACAGCTCGGAAATAACCCGAGGAAATACTGTTTGGGTGCCAGTTGACTTTCAGAAGATGAGTTTCATACAAACAAGCGACAACTGGGGAAAAGAAAGTATTGGCAGCGCACACGGGCTTTCTCACGTAATTTTAGCACATGGTAAAATCACTGTTTAGTTGGCTAGCTCAGACCGTGGATTGAAGAGCAATATCTAAACGCTGTATGTTCTATAAAAGTATCAGGCATGGCCAAAAGGGATGGAAGGAGAAGGAAAGGAGAATGGTATAATGGACAGTTCTCCAGACAGTGGCCACGAGGAGCCTACCCTAAAATATTCAGGAGGAAGGGGAGGGGATTACCTGTACTGCAGTAAAATACAAAGATAACCACATAAAAAATACACAAATACCCTGAAATGCCGAAAGAAATAAAAGACAAGTAGCAAACGAAAGAAGACAGTTAAAGTATAAAATAAAGGGTAACACATACAGTAATTATAAATTAGTATGACATGGCTAAATATAGCAGTCATGCTAATTAATGGAATAGGCTTTTGCCCTTTTGTGACAATTCTCAACTTGATCCTTAACACAAAAGACAAACACACACTATATATAATAAACACATCTCAAATATGGTTCAGTCAGGGGCCCCTAACTAAAACCCAGAATTGGCAGACGAAAACTATAAAAATAAAAACCCGAACGGTGGGTTGGTGATTCTAAGCAGGCGAGTGACTGCATCCCCAAGTTCTCCGTGAGGTGGGTCTTGAGACGTACATGGATTCCTTGTGAAAGATGTAATAAGATGTAGCAGAGTGTGGTTCACATAATGAAGACAGAGCAGTTAGGAATATCTATGTGCCATGTGCCACAGCAATTATCATATGAAGCGTAAATTTCATGAACTAGAAACACATTAATAATAGGTGATTTTAACACCCCATATCCAGGACAGAGAGTGCATTAATTAAAGAAAAAAGATCTAAGCATAAATAATTCAGTTAATAATAGATCAGTTTTGATCACACACACACACAGACACACTCACACACACACACACATACACTAAAGATGAAGAATGTCTTCTCATATGGATCATTTCGTGGATGCATAAAATGACCCTAGATTGATGTGATACCATTGCTTATATTTTATATTTTATCCTGTCTTTTGCCAAGATCAAACCCGTTCTCACTGCAACACATGACTGGATCTGAAACTCGGCCAGGGGTACCGTTTCTTTCGCGACCTTTTTCCAGACACTGCATACTATTATCTCCCTCTGAAGCGCAGCGTGTGCGGTGACTATAACCGAAATGTACATTTAGACAGGCATTTGGGGGATACATAACTCCCTCAGCCCCCCCCCCCGGGGCCTGGCTATAGGAGTATTTGATGCTTCTACCGTGCATTAATGTCCCGTGTTGTGGTCTGTGGCACGCACAGAGTTGTCATGTTCCATTTACAGGGTCGGCGGGAAGCATGAAAAATGTAGGTCAGCGGCATATAAAATATTTATGAAAGATAAAGGCACAGATGTCCTTGCTTAGCGCACCTACCAAGTACAGAATATTTGAACAATAGTGGTTTGAGTTCTAGTTAAGATATGTCTCTTAACTATTTATATTGCTATTTAGTAATTCCTTTTCTTTTTTCTTTTGCAGTAAGTAATTTTATCAGTGTGATTTTTTTTTTCAGTGCATAGTTGGAGCTGGAGAGGGCTCAGCAGTTAAAATCGTGCTGCCCATGCCGAGGCCCAGAGTTTGGTTTCTACCAAACGTGGTGGGTGGCTCACAACCCCCTGCAATTCTAGATCCAGGGAATCTGATGCCCTCTTCTGGCCTCTGTTGGTACTTGCATTCAGGTGGAACACATTTACACAGACCATACACATAAAAATAATTAAAAATAAAACATATCTTTAGAAATTAAAAAAAAAAATTAAAAGTACACACTGAATGAAAAAAAGCTTTATGGTCTTGGTTTCTCAAAAAAAATTGATAAGTTCACATTTAATGGAAAATTATTATTGTCTTTTGATTTCTCCAAGAGACTCGGGGCAAATCCATAATTTGCAGAAAATACCGGTATACGCTGCCATCCCCTGGGAGCCTATGATGATGTCATTGACCATAAGAAAACTTGAGGCCAAAGTCTTCTGAAGAAATATGAGCATCTCTCTCAAGAGCTGGTAATTATTTTAAGAAGCCTGTGCTGAAAATGGTTAGCATAAGCAGATGCAGAAGTTGAATTTACATATCCCTGTGAAGCAGTAATGCTTTTTTATTTAGATCAAACATCTGCTCTTCTCGGAGCTTCACCGCTCCCCTTTCTCCAGCACCGCCTCCCCAGAGAAAAGCCCTTGATGTTGATAGGGCTGACTGACAACCGATAGAAAAGCTCAGGATCTTGCTGGGACACACAGACACAATCAACAAAGTCAAAAACACACTTCTGGAGGTCTGGGAGGATAGTTCAGACAGTGGGTGAAGATAGTTTAGTCTTGCTGGGTGAGTGTGAGGACCTGAGTTCGTAACCCCTAGCTTCCATGTCTCAGAAAATAATCCAGGGACTTGGTAGCACATGCCTGCAATCCCATGAGTTGAGGAGGCCTAGAGAGAAGGATCCCTGGAACTTGTTGCCAGTCTCCCTAACCAAATTGATGAGCTCCAGGATCCATGAGACCTTGTGCTAAGAAATCGTGGGGAAGGAGGCTGAAGAGAGGGTTTAGCCGTTACTGGTCGCTCATCGAGAGGACCTGAGTTCACTTTCTTCCCGACATAGCTTCACACATTTATGACTCCAACTCCAGGTGACCTGGCATCCTCTTGTGGCTTCCAAGGGCTCTGCATGCAAGGGGCACACAGACATAATACTCATATACTTAAAATAAGAAAAAAAAAAAACTAAAAGAAATAAGAGGGTAGGGGAAGAGATTGAGAAAGATATTTAATGTTGACCTGGCCACCCTATGCATGTGCATGTATACATATACACAGAGAGAGACAGAGACAGGGGTGTGCATATGTAGACACACAGACATATACACACAGAGGGGTGCACATATGTAAGTGCCCATATACACATATACACAGAGGTGTGCATATGTAGACATACATAGACACTCACACAGAGGTGCACATATGTAGACACATACACTCACAGACACACAGAGTGAGGCTCTGTGTTCGTAAAAAAAAAATCGACCTGAATATACAAATATATGAGCTATATCTGTACGTCTGTTGTGATGAGCGAGGGGCGTAAATGTGGAGCCTGTGGCCAGGAGGAAAAAGTCAGGGTTTCTAGCTGCCCCAGATGTTTCCTAGCTGCCCCAGATGTGCTGCTGTGCAAGGCAGTGTGGCCGAGGTGAGAGACAGCAACCTCTGAGGTGCTGCTTTCTTGTCAAGAGGTCCACATGCATTGACAGAGCGGCCAAGGCCAAGACAGATCATGTCCTTTCCTCCTGCGGGCTGACTGGAGGGGAGAGTGCTGAGCTCCCCGAGGCAGTTCTTCTAGGGCTTTGTAAATTCCTTCCAGAGACTGCTGAGCCCTGGCCTGCCTTGGTCTGGCCTCCTTCCTCTGTAGATTCTTATCACAGCTTCCAGTCTGCAGAATTTACCCTTCCCCCTTTCCCAGACCTGGCTGGGAATTGTTTCAGAATCTGTGAAGCAAAGTGGTTGCTGGCGAACCAGGAAGGGAGGGGTTTTACGTGTGAACTTTCAACCACTGTGAAAAGAGTTGTTGGGAGAAGGTGGAAGAAAAGAAATCATACTCGCACTAAGCAAAAATAGCCACCCGCAGGAACGCACAAACTGCAGAATTCTTCCTCGGGATTAGTTCCTAATTCTGCTATGAGATTCAGGTGGGTGTTTCACAACACGTATGTCAATATCAATTCGGAGGTTTAAAAACCGAGACCAGGGGCCTTCTTTTCTTAGCAAGCCACAAA